GACATTTCGTTAGTCTTTTTCTATGGTCCTTCCCTCCTACTCTCCCTCCCTTCCTTCCAACCTCTTTCATGTCACTCTGTGGTCCTTATTGATCCAGAACCATGGCCTCAAGCTTTCCTCCTGTCTTTACCTCTTGACCACCCAGGAGTACAGACACATACTACCATGCATGGCTTCAGTATGATTGATTTTGTTTTTTTTGGACTTCAAATAAATTAAAATCATCAACCAAAAATGTGCTTCAATCAGTTTTAATCCTCTGAATTTTCATGGCTTTAAAAGCAAAACTTATCCCCGTGTTTGTAAGTGATATTAATAGTTTCAAAATTGGAATTTGAATACAAGTGACTGATTAATGAATTAAACATCACCCTGAGGATTGGCACATCTAGAAACTTGATGAGATCAGTACCAGGGTTCTTTTTGCCCTCTCTCTTCTCCCCTCACCTCAGCCCCTCAATTCTGAGAGTTGATCCTAGAGTCCCATACATGCAAATTAGTTCTTTTCCACTGAGCTGTAGCCCTAGCCTTTTTGTTGTTGTTGTTTGTTTGTTTGTTTGTTTGGTTTTTCAGGGTGTAGCCTTGGCTGTCCTGGACTCAGTTTGTAGATCTGGGCTGGCCTCCAAACTCACAGAGATCCACCTGCCTCTGCCTCCCAGAGTGCTGGGATTACAGGCTCGAGCTATCACACTGGCTGTCCTTTTGTGTCTCAGGAAGTTACACAGGCTGACCTTGAACCTTCTAGCCCAGAGAGGCCTTGAATTGGGGATCATCATGCCTTGGCCTTCCAGGGCTTACAAGCCCTGTTCCACCAGGCCTAGTCTTAGCATTGAGCATCTTAAAACAATAAAATAACTAAGCTATGGCGTGTCAAGGAGAAAACTATTAAGTTTAGTTTACTCAACTGCTAACACTTTATTACCCAGATAGAAGATGTGTTTGAAGAATCACAGTTTCACAGTCAAAGTTGAAACGAAATCGGCAAAATGCAAGTGAATTGCTCCAAAGTTACTTCCCTTGTCCAACAGGAAAATAAACTGATCAGTTAGGTCTCATGGCGTAGCTCTGGCTGCCTGGAACTTGTTATGTAGACCGTGGTTGCTTCAAACTTGAGGAGATCTGCCCGTCTGTGCCTCCTGATTCTAGGACTGAAGGCCTGTGCTACCAAGCTCAGTTTGGTAAATCATTACACAAGGATTAGGGCTGAGGACAAATCACTATCAATCTGACTTTGATCTATCTTCCATGATGTTCTCTCTCTCTCCCCCCCTCTTGATTTCCTCAAAGGCCAGATAACAACTTAGTTCCTCTTTGGATGTGATACTTTGATATGTGTGGCTGCATGTGGATTCTGAGCCTGATCCATTAGGAATGAGCTTGAGGCATTAGTCTAAAACAACATCCAGTAATATTTAATCAGTTTATATTCCTATTCATTCAACCATTTATATTAATTTGTTTTCAAACTGTTTGGGAGGAAGGGTGTACTGGTATATTCCTGTAGTCTGAGGACTCAGGAGGCTGAAGCAAGACCTTTGAGGGTCCCAGGATAGCCTGGGCTACATAGACAGGCTTTGCTAGAGAAAAAGCAAAACCAAACAGAAAGCTGGCAGTGGTGGCGCATGCATTTATCCCAGAACTCGGGAGGCAGAGGCAGGTGAATCTCGAAGTTTGAGTCTAGCCTGGTCTACAGAGTTCCAGGACAGCCAAGGCTACACAGAGAAACCCTGTCTCAAAAAAACAAAAACAAATAAACAAACCAAAAAATTTCAGGGCTTTAATTTCTCTTTACAGGAAGTGCTTATTCATTTGTGCATATAAGTTTGATTCCCCTCTTAATGGAGGCTTCTGAAGTTTATAGTTAATAAAAGGCCTGTCAGGGGTTTAGAGATTTATCAAAGTAGCAGAGCATTTCCTCAGCATGTGCTAGGTCTGGGTTAGGAGCCAGCACTGCAAGATGAGAACAAAAGAAAAAAAATATATAGCTCGGATGTATTCCAAGGAAAGGCTTTTAGCTATACTGTCATGCTTTATGGATGCTTTGATCGCAGGGTCCTGCCTAGAACGCTCTTCCGATTATATAGCAGTAGTGAAAGGCAAACAAGGCTCTACCAATATTTAGCAGACAGTTCTCATTCCAGCTCTACCGCTTTCTATTGTGTCAGTGTAAAACTGTGACCGTAGGGCTTGTGAAATGGCTTAGCTGATAAAGGCTCATGCAGCCCAATAATGTCAGCCTAAAAAAAGTGAGTTCATAATCCTGAAGATCCATGTAGGGTGGAAGAAAATAACAGATTCCACAGAATTGTCCTCTGACTTTCTCACAGGTGCCATATGTGTGCACCCCCAACAAAAATACAAGTGTAATAATAAGGAGCTAGAGAGATGGCTCAGAGGTTAGGAGTACAAACTGCTCTTGCAGAGAACCCCAGTGTCATCCCAGTATCTTCAAAAACCTGCCCACAACATCTTTTCTTTTCTTTTTCGGCCTCTGAGAGCGCCTGCATGTATAGGAATTGTTCTGGCAAGAGATTACATCTAAAGACCTTCTGGGTCTGTGCAATACTCCTGGAATACTCCCAAGAGACAGTGTCAAGCAGATCTCTGAGTTCAAGGCCACCCTGGTATAGAGCAAATTTCAGGGAAAGAATAGCTTAGGTTCAGGTGTGGTGCTATACACCTTTAACCCCAGCACTCAGGAGACAGAGGCATACAGATCTTTGAGTTCTAGTCAGTGCTGTTCTGGTGGTTCATGGAGAGGGTGCTTGAGAGGCAGTGCAGTGGAGTTGGGTTTGTGGAATTCACAGGCAGTTTTTATCGGGAGAGTTTTACAGAGAAAGGTTGAAGAGAGAACAAGCTAGACACAGGTGCAGACAGAATGAGCCAGAGAATAAGAAGCCAAGAGGACTTAATTTCGTGGGCACCAGCCAGTCCCCCAAAAGTTTAGTTCCCAAACATAGCTACTGTAGAAATTTACCTTTTTGGCTTTAAAAGGAGCCTATGAGCTCCCCTCGTGGTCACCGCCATTTTGTGAAAATGGTGACCCCAGCCTGCTGGGATTCTCTGCAGAATAACTGCTCTTTGTTTTTGCATATGATCTGAATCTGGGGTCTTTCTTCAGTGATTCACGGACCCTAACGAAGCCAGATGATTAGAACAGATTGCTAGAGTTAGTTTGAGGCCAAGCTGAACAATTCAGTGAGAAACTGAGAGAAGCCAGGTTGAATCAGTCAGCATGGAAAAGATTTTGAGCCAGGACAGCTCAGTTGAGGCAGCCAGCCAGAGTTCAGAAAGAGCTAGAAAGAGTGTGCTTATTCAGCAGTAAATCTCAGTGGCTGAAAACATTCCAGGCCTAGGTTAGAAGACTAACCTAGGAGGGTTAGAAGCACTGGGAGATGGGAGTAGAAAAATGAGGAATGAAGCCAGATGCTGCAGTGCACACTTGTAATCCCAGCACTCTGGGAGGCAGAGACAAGTGGATCTCTATGAGATCGAGGCCAGTTTGGTTTCAGTCTGAAATACAGAGCAAGTCCATGCCAGCCAAGGCTACACAGAGGAACCAGACCAGCCGTGGTTACAGCAAGTTGAAGGCCAGCCTGGGCTACATGAGACTCTGTGTCAAAAATTAACTAAGTAAATAAATAAAAGCAAAAGCAAACGAAAAAAAACAACCTAGCAATGAAGCTGAGCAGTGGGACAAATGTCCAGAACTTGAGCGGTTGAAGCCGGAGAACCTTGAATTTGAGGCAAGACTGTACTCCCTGGCAACACCTGGTCTTAAAAAACAAACAGTAGCAACCACAACACAGCAATTGAATGGGGTAGTGCATGCATGTAATTCTAGCACATGGGAAGTGAATCAAGAAATTCAAGAGTTCAAAGCCATTCTTCCTGGATGTGGTGGTGCAAACCTTCAGTCCCAGCGCTCAGGAGGCTAAGGCAGTTAGATCCTGGTGAGTCTGAGGCCAGCATGGCCTACATAGTGAATTTTAAGACAGCCAGAGCTAGACAGTGAAAAAGCCAAATACAAAGCAAGAGCTCATGTAGAATGATTATGAATGTAATACAAGTCATAAATTTGGTAAGGTTGCACTGGTAGTTTATCTTTATGTAGCTATTTACCCAAATAACAACACGTGGAGACGGTGACTTATTTAACTAGCCTAGAGCACAATACTGAGCAATAATTACTCCATCCTAATGCTCCAAGTTCACACTTCCTCCCAGCCCAATTTTTCATTATAATTGCTTTTTAAGCACCTCCCAGCTCCGGTCACTTCTCCTGATACTTTTTGGTCCTCCCCTCGTGTCGCCACTTTCTTTCTCTTTTCCCACCCCGTTCTCTGTATTGCTCAGCATTGGCTGGTTGGTGTTCTGTCAGCACAACAGAGAACAAATGGTGGGCACGATTACACAAACTTGAGACGGGAGATACGTAGAATAAACATTACAGTGCCATGTCTGGACTGAAACCAGATTGTGCGGTAGAGAAACCAGCATTTACATAAACAAGGGCAAACATTATACAGTCCACGTAAGTCCAATAAAGGCTCTTTTTCTTTCAATAATAAAGTGATATTTAATAATAATTATGAAACAATTATGAAAACTATTAGATAAGATTTACATATACAGTGTCTAGTATATATATGCATTTGGCAACTTTAAAAAAAATTCTATTACCTACCCTAACTTGGTGAGTTTAGAGTTTTGTACCTAAATTAATTTTTTATTATAGCTTGTATTACCAATCTAAAAACATCTTCTTAAATCCTAAACAACTTAAACTTAATTGTAAGACTATAACTATCTAGTCTTCAACTCTAAGTATGTAGGAAGTGCAGACAAGCAGCTTCCAATATTAAGAACTGACAGACAGCTGGCTGCCTGGACAGACATTCAGATTTTCTCTATAATGTTGGAACATCAATCTTCAGCCTTCTGGCTTACTATATCTGGCAGAAGACTTGTGAATCAGGAGCTGTGAAGGACTTACTTACCCTGTCTTGGCACAGCTTGTCACTCTACTTTGCCCCCGTCTAAGTTTTGCCCGTTTTGGACAGCATGCTGTCTGCAGAGGGAGTAGGCCATTTTCTTTGCCTGGTGACTAGCTTGCTGTGTTTGAAGCCATTTCCTAATGGAGATTCTTTGACGCTCATCATCATCTTTCAAGTCGAGTGGGGGTGCTGCCAGGGGTTGTCATGTCTCAATGTCAAAAGACCTAAATTAATTTTTAAAAAAATCTTAAATTGCTATATTCTGTAGGTCTCTGAAGTTTTTGAAGACCACCTATTTACCTATAGTAAATCTAAACAGGCAAACATTGTTGTTTCTAGGTATTTACTATCTGTTCTGCCTACGATATATATTTCTATAAGAAAATAGATTAGTATCTGACATGGCCATTAGTTTGGTTGACTATTAACCTGCATTATTTAATTATCCTTTACTAGACATATAATATAGGATAAACATACTAAAATATGTATACCTAAGGAAGCTAATCAGGAAAGAGGACTCTGGCTAAGATACTCAATCCCCATTCAGAAAGGCAAAGAGGATGGACATCAGAGGAGGGAGAAAACACGGAACAGGACAGGAGCCTACCACAGAGGGCCTCTGAAAGGCTCTACCCTGCAGGGTATCGAAGCAGATGTTGAGACTCATAGCCAAACTTTGGGCAGAGTACAGGGAATCTTATGAAAGAAGTGGAAGATAGTAAGACCTGGAGAGGACAGGATCCACAAGGACAGCAACAAATCCTAAAAGTCTGGGCACAGGGGTCTTTTCTGAAACTGATACTCCAACCAAGGATCACTCATGGAGATGGCCTGGAACCCCTGCACGGAGGTAGCCTATGGCAGTTCAGTGTCCAAGTGGCCTCCATAGTAATGGGGACAGGGACTATCTCTGACATGAACTGATTGGCCTGCTCTTTGATCACCTCCCCCTGAGAGGGGAGCAGCCTTACCAGGCCACAGAAGAAGACAATATAGCCACTCCTGATGAGACCTGATAGACTAGGATCAGAAGGAAGGGAAGGAGGACCTCCCTTTTCAGTGGACTAAGAGAGGAACACAGGTAAGAAAGAAGGAGGGTGGGATTGGAAGGGGAGGAGGGAGGGAGGTACAGGGGGGATACAAAGTGAATAAACTGTAATTAATAAAAATTTAAAAAATTGGAAAAATAAAAAAAAATTATCCTAAACAGTTTGTAATAGTAGCTTTCAAAAGGACTAGAATTTCACATTGTATTTTCAAATGAGTTGCATAGGCACAATACTTTATACAAGAGTTGAAATTACATACACCGTGTGTATCATGGTATATTATAACCTTAAAATTTTATCAACATACAATAATACAAACCAATGAAAAGCTTAAACCTGTTTCAACATAGAATAATCCATATCAATGTAAAATATGTGAGAATAACAATAGCTCTATAGTTGAAGAGTAGATCAATAGGCTGCCCTTTCATTCCTACTATTCCTATATCATTCTTATATGTTCTTAGGTGTTCAAGGCCATCCTAAATTGCTAGTGAGTTCCAGGTCAGCCTGGAATATACTGGACTCTACTTCAACAACAAAAACAAATTCGACAGACAGACAAACAACGAATACAAACAAAACCTCGAAAGAGAATACGGGTGTGTAAAAACCCGTGTTTAATCCTAGCTGTTGAAGTGAAACCCAACTAGGGTTGCAGCTCCCCACCAAAGACTGGGAAGACTTCTCTTCCTTCTTCCCTTCCTTCCTTATTTCTCTCTTCCTTCTTTTCCCCCCTAGGGCATCTGTACTTGTACTTGTGGTTCCCATGTGTGTTTGTGTGTATGTGTGTATGCATAGGTGTGTACTGGCATGTGGAGGGCAGAGGATGATGTCTTTTCAGTCACTCACCACCTTATTTATTGAAGCAGAGTCTCTCGATTGATAATTTTATAATTCCTGGCAATGACTTTATAGCATTCCTGATATGATTCAAGTAATTTTTAAGCCCTCCTGCAGAACAGCAAAGCTGCATAGGAAGTTCTGTGAGCCTTCTTGTGTCAGAATCGTGTAACCTAGGAAGAAGAACAGGCTTGGGACATTCATTCTAGGTTAGATCCAGGGATGAGGTAACAAATCCATAAAACATGGATGACTAGCCAATCTAACTATACAAGACTTCAAAAATAAGATGTAAGATAGATCACCTGTTTCTTGGTAAAAACCCTGTTAACCTATGACATAAAAAAACAAAAACAAAAACAAAAAAAACTATTGCTTTGAACTTATAATGAACATGTATATTGTGTCTCCCAGGAAAAGTTTTGTCACACAGTTGTAGTGCTGATTGAAGGGACTCTAGCCGTTAGAGCATAGCGAACATGGCCCTGGCCCTTCCTTGCCTTGCCCATGGCCCATAGCCAACATGGCCAATGCCTTGCCCTTCCTCTAATCCCTCTGCTCTGCTTAAAAACCGTTAAGCTTACATTCTTAAAACTAGCCACCAAGGTCTATTCCCTTATGTGGCCACTTCCTCCTCCTGTCAAAGTATTGAAGTCCAGCAATCAAAAGCCCCCTTTGGCTCACCTAATTAACATGCCCAGTTAAAACATACCACCACATTCTAGCCCATTCTAACACAGACAAACCCCCTCCCTTTTCCTCTTAAAAATCACACTTGCCTTTTTTTTTTTTTTTTTTTTTTTTGCCTTTCTTCCCATAAAGGATATCTCTGTGAAAACAGGTGGTTGGATGTGGTTGTGCCCAATCCAGGGGTCTGAGACCCCCCTGCTGTGAGGCAGGGTCACTTCAGTGATATATTTGTCTGTTTTTTGTTTGTTTGTTTTTGAGACAAGTGCTCTTGTAACCCAGAATTCACAGCACAGGCAATGCCTGTGACCTCAGGTCTTGGAAAGTAAGCTCAGGAGAACAAGGCCTCTTCTCAGCCACATAAAACTCTGTCTCAAAAGTAAAAAATAAATTAAAAAGGAAACTTACCATTCCAACCTCAAGTTGGTTTTTTTCTCACCTTTTGTTCTTTTCATTTTGACTTGTCTGTGTAAGAAATGTCTTTTTTCCCCTCAAGGGTAGCTTGCTCCTCCGGGACTAATATTGGATAAGTCTTCCCCACTTTGTAAAACTTTTATGCAAATCTTCTAATCTCCTCCACCTGGTAATGTGTTTGTTTACACAAAGGGTGATGGCCTAGGGCCGCTGAGTCCCACCCCTTTTTCTTCCTTTATTTTTTTGAGACAGGATTTCTCTGTGTAATCTTGGTTGTCCTGGACTGGATTTGCCGACCAGGCTGGCCTCTAATTTACGTCGAACCTCCTGCCTTTGCTTTCCTGAGTGCTGGGATTAAAGGCGTGCACCACTATACCCACTACTCAGATCTTTTTAAAACTAGCCAGTCTCGAAAGTGTGAAGCTAGACCAGCCAATGGGAAGCAACATCATCGTTTGCATTGTAATAAAAACCAAGTGATGTTGGGACTGGAAGAGAACACTTAGTCCCAGAAGTCTGGGCGGAGACCAGATATTTCTGTGAATTTAGAACAGCTGCTTATTGAGTTCCAGCCCAGCCGGAGCTACTTAGTAAGGCATTATTTAAAAAAAAAAAATAATAATAATTAAAGAAAAAAAGAGTGAACTTCCTGCCTCATACATTCCTTCTGTTTGTGTGATGCCATGAGTATCTGTTTCCAACACCTAGAAATTAAGTTATGATTCCTTAGCAGGCTGTGGTGTTGCTCACCTTTAATCCCAGCATTCTGGAAGGAACAAGCAGGTGGATCTCAGAGTTCAAGGCCAGCCAGGTGTACAGAGCAAGTTCCATGACTACACAGAGAAACCCTGTCTCTAACAAACAGAAGTATAATTCCTTAGCAGAACTTTTAGTGAGATTCTCCTCCCTCTGGTGAACTCTTCCAGCTGTCAAAGCCTAGCTAGCATTCTGTATTTAAAGATTGTCAATGAAAAAAATTAGAGTCAGAGAAGAAACCCATAGAAATCTGTTCTCTCTGCCCTGGGATTGAACTCAGATTCTCAGGTTTGGCGGCAGGCACCATCTGCTCCCAGTGGTCTCCTCATGAGCTAGCAGAGTGTGTATTTAAGGAGTTAAATATCTTCTAAAGTAAATGGAACTCACAGACATTTCCAATTTCCATTTAAATTCCCCCAGATTTCTGTGTTTTCTTTTCATGCCAGCAGAGGCTACAGAGCACAGATTTTTACAATGTATACAAGACCTCGCTACAAAAGTCGTCTTTGTTCAAATGCTGGAATGGAGGTGTAAGACACAGGGCCAGGAGAGTAACAATGAAAAGCGCTTGTTCCTGATAGGGAAAGAGTAGGATTTGTGACAGAAATCTGGACAGAATTTAGAAGGAAAACTGTTTTTGAGACACAGAAAAAGAATGTGCAAGCACGACATTAACTAAAAGTTACAGAAGTTCCTTATTTTAGACAAGGTCCTTGCACTAGGCTCCAAAAAAACAGACTGACCAACACAGAGACACTCCCTGGGCCACTAAACCCCCTCCACAAGGAATGTTAACTTGGAAATGGCCACTTTTTCCCTACTTAGGATCCCCCCTGCCTCCGCCTCCCAAGCGCTGGGATCACAGGCATGCAAAACGGTACCCAGCTTGTAGGAATGTATTGTTTCAGTTCATGCTGTCATTTCTATTCCTTCAGTTATTCAGTATTTTATATTTGGTGCTAAGGATAAAGAAATCAAGGCTCTTTCCTGGGGTACAGGCAGGAGGATAGCTGTTTGCAGGAGGATACAAGTTTGAGTCAACTTGGTTTACACAGCTAAATTCCAGGGCACCTAGGCTACATAGTAAGACTCTGAAAACGTGTGCGGGCGCACACACACAATTATGTCCGATTATTATTCCTGTAACCTTACAATTTCGTGGGCTAAGGTTTCAAAACAAACAAAATGTCCAGTTGTAGCAAACACCTCTTAACCTCAGCACCTGGAAAGCAGAACAAGTAGAATCTACCTTGGTCTACACAGGAAGTTCCTGGCGAGCACAGAATGTTTTATTATAGATTATTTTCACCAAATGTTAACGTTTATGAAGATGGTCTATATTCTTCAGAAACGTCCACTAACCACCTCTCTGTCTGTCTCTCTCTCTGTGTCTGTCTCTCTGTCTCTCTCTCTCTCTCTCTGTGTGTGTGTGTGTGTGTGTGTGTGTATTGACTCTGGGATTGGATTCAGAGCTTCCTGCTTCCTAGGAAAGCAGTAACTCCCTGGGCAAACAGTGATTACTTTGCATATGGTTTTACAGGCCCAGAATTCCTTTTCTCATTCTTTGTCTGCTTTACTAGGCTGTAAGTGCTTCTACTTACTTATTTTGATACACTGTCTTGTTACGGCTGGCCGGCTGGCCGCAAACTACAACTCAGCCTCCACGGGCTGTGGTAATGGGTGAATGCCCTGTCACCTCTCCACACCTCCAGCAGTTTGGGGGCCAGGGAAATGAGGAATTCCTCAATGATTCAGCAAATGGTGTGAAAGGAGTTGGGAGCAGTCTTACTTCGGGAATGAAAATATTACTAATGACTTAGCAGCATGGAACAGTTTCCAGCCTGTTTCTTGGAAATAGTTCAGTCATTTGCCTTGAGTGAGATACCTTCCTGAAATCAAAACTTTGAAATCTTTTAATGAAACCAGTTTCATCTAGAAGTCAAGTCTGTAAGACTTGCAAGACAGAGATTTTAAGTCAGTCTATTAGATTCAAAGTTCAAGCCCAAAGTGGTGAGGCATGTAATCCGAGGTTGCACCAGGAGGATCAGGAGTTCAGGGACAGCCTTAACTACCTCGCCAAGTTGAGGCCAATCTGGGCTAGATGATATCCTGCTTCAAAAAAGGAAAGAGAGAGAGAGAAAGCCAAAGCAAAAGAAAAGAGAAAAACAAACAAATAAACAAACAAAAAACAAGAAGCCAGACCTGGTGGCACACTCCTGTAATCCCAGCACTCTGGGAGGCAGAGGCAGGAGGATTACTGTGAGTTTGAGGCCAGCCTGGTCTACAAAGTGAGTCCAGGGCAGCCAAAGCTACACAGAGAAACCCTCTGTGGCACAGTCGGGGGTGGGGGTTGGACAGCAACAACAACAACAACAACCAAAAAAAAAAAAAAAAAAAAAAAAAAAAAAAAAAAAAAGGGAAAAGGAAAAAAAAATAAAAACAAAATACTAGAATTTTACTCGCTGCATTCGTCCACTGATTATGTGTTCCGTGCGTTCCTGTCAGGTGTTAGAATTTATTAAGGAGATTCTACACCTAATTTCACTTAAGATACACATGACATGACAGACAGGTTTGACTCTGCCGGCGACAGGCGTTACTCTTGCAGAGCACAGCCGTGCCGGCGATCACCAACCCAGGGCTCTGTCCTGGACATCTACGCCTTTCTAATCTTGCCGCCGCCGGTTCAACTGGCACGTGGCCTTCCGGACATCAACCATCCGAGACAGCTCCGAAATGAGTTGCCAATTAATGACGTGTGTCGGACGATCCCGGTGGCGCGGCAGTTACTTTACCTCCACATCCATCGAGCCCCAACCGATTCCGGGGCAATAAAACCCTGCGGCTCCTGAGTCCCCAGCCCTGCCCAGCCAGGAGCGCACTGTTCTCCCCACAGCCGCCCCGCGGGGCAAGGGCGCCGCCGGGGACCGGGAGGCGGGGCTTCGGGGG